CTCTCAGCTTGTCTCGCTGCCGGTATCGCAGCTTGGAGCCTCTGCAGTAAAACCTGCCTCAGTGACTGTTGACAGCGTTAATCTGAACCAAACGTTCTGACCTGCATATGACAGATCATGAGTTCTCACGAGGCCACTATAGACTCTTATGGAGCGTAATCCTCTAATAATGTGCTAATTGTTCCCAAATGTTCAGAGCTGAAGGAGGAGAAGCAGCAGAAACACAATGACTGAAAGAACATGAAAACAGAGCAGTCACATGAGCTCAACATGTGGGTCAAGTGATCTGCAGGAGGTCGCTGACCCCACAGCGGGTCTGGGAACACTGTGGAACGCAGCAGAACCTTCCTACAACACTTACAGAACCAAAACACGCCACACTGAAAAACATGTGCTGTTGTAATAATGATGTATTGTATAATTGATAATATCCAGTAAAATCACAGAACATGCTGAACAACAGCCTCACGGAGAGTCGGCAGTTTAAACAGTGATTTGTTCTTTTACTGGGTTTGGCCGTGAAATTAAACTTTAAAAATAAATAAACAAACAAAAAAACAACTGGATTTTATTTTACAGATATTTGTTGGTATTTAATAATAAATATTTTTTCTGACTTATGTACTGTACGGGCAGCTCATGGTGGCAGCAGAGAGCATTGTGGGAGTTTAGCAGCAACGGGACCATGACGGAGACTCTGAGGAGGTTCAGGACCTCCAAGCAGAACCTCTTTTACTTTCACAGAAACCTGAATAAATAATTAAAGCACATGTAGCCCTGTTCAGGACTGCTGGGGCCATTTGGTTGAGGTGACAGGTGTTGGTTTTCTATTTTTGAAGAAAAAAATTTAAATTTAAATTAAAATTTAAAAAAATAAAATAAAACGAGGGACATTAGTCGTGCACTTGGACCCAAAAATACGTCAACTTATCAGAACATGAATGTAACAGCATAAAAGTCTAAAATGAATACCAGCAAATACTTGGCACAGGTTCTTTAATTCTTTCCTTCTCCGTATGGAAGCATGAAGGTCCTGAGCAGCGCTAAACCACAGCAGCTGAACAACAGTTACAACAACAATGACTTCCTGAGCTGGTTCCCAACATCAGCAGCATGTGATTGGTTGACCTCTGACTGCAGTGTGATGCAGGTAGAGTTCTGTTAAACAAGAGGGAACCAACTCATTTAAAACCTTAAAAACAAACTATAAAATCCTGAAGTCATCCCTGAAACACTCAGAAACAGTCGGGATGTGACTGATGCATCATTTGATCACAGATGGAACCTCGACTAGTTTTATTTCCAACATTGTTTTTCTGTTCATAGAATGACTGCAGTTTATTATTTTACACATTCAGAAGAATCTGAGCAGCACCAGCAGGACTTACAGTTCTCGTATCGCTGCTAATTTAGGTTTGTTAATAACAGTAATATAGTGCTGCCTGACTGAGACGTTGGGGGTTTAGGTTTCCATCCCTGTTAGCTGCAGGCCTCCTCCTCTTGCAGACCATAAAGCATCCGTTAAAGCTCATAAAGGCTCTTAGCTGTGACCGGATTAACCTGCAGGAGGCAGCAGGTCAAACAGTCGCAGGGACCCGATGACCCGTCACTGCCTCCCTCCTCAGAACCAGACAGCTTCAGTTCAAGCTCAGAGACCCAGATCTGCTGAAGAAACACAGAACAACCCAACACATTTACTGTCAAAGCTTTGACCTGGATGGAATCTGATCAAACTACAGGAAACACGGAATCCCTCAGGGCTCCATTTCAGGACCAGTTTTATTTAGAAATAATGATCTTCCTGAATATTTATATGATGTAAATAACTGAGTATAAAATCCCCTTCTTCTACATGCAGCATGGATCAGAACCAGAGACCAGAGGAGCCAGACGTTGGAGATACATTCATCTGATGGTGGAACATCTTTCTACAGCTGATGAGCAGAGAGGAAACATCTGGAGACATGGAGATAGTTCAACATCTGCAGGACGAGGAGCCCAAACAACAGAAATGAGAAAGTCAAGGGACAAAACGACAGCAGGGAGACATGGAACGACAAAGACGAGAGAAAATGTCCACAAAGAGACAAAACTGCTCCAAAGAGACATAAGATGACATTAAATGAGACATAAAAGACAAACAAGACACAGAAAGAGAAGAAGATCCAAGATTAAAGGAGAAACACAAAACAGCAAAAACTATTCACAAGAGACACAAAGAGACAAAAGAAAGACGTAAATGAGAGGCCAGTAGGGAGACGAGCCGTCTGTTCACAGGAAGCACTTCAACATCTGACTGTGTGGAGACCAAGTGTCTGGTGACATTTTTATCAAACGAACCAACAGATAATCTACAAAACGTTGTTTTAGTCTCTGGTCTCCATGGTTCTGAGTCCTGCTGACAGAAGACATCTCTGCGTTCTCTCTTCATGTTCTGGTTCCTCAGAGCTGCAGGACTTGCTGCTGAAACATGAACCTCAGTGATCAGAAATGAGACGGAGCTGCTGGAGCCAGAGGCTGAAAGTGTTGCAGCCGATCAACTGGTTTTTATTGTGTATTGTCTTGCGCTGACTTCGGTTGTGGTTTTTGTCGACCTGGTGCGTTTTTGACGATTTACATTTAATTGTGCGTCTTCTGTACAGAAACACACGATGAAAGGAGCTGATGCTCATCGAGCCTGAAACAACAGAGCTGCTCTGCTGTCCTGCGGTCGACGTGTTCGCTGACGTACGGAGTCAAACCCTGATCCCCGGCTCGGCTGCTTCATAAAACATGTATGTGCACGAAGCTCTGCGGCGGTAATCGGAGCTCATTAATCGAGCTGCTGTCAGGCCTTCAGGCTCCGAGCAACTCTGCGGCTTTAATGTAAACTGTGCTCAGGAAATGAGTCGCCGCCAGATGAATGAGCTGCACATGAAGCTCTCTGACAGTCCAAACACTCAGCTGGTGGCACAAATCAAGATAAAAGGCGGAGAGCTCCAACAATAACAGGCCGAGCAGAGAGGATGCTGGGAGCAGCTGGAGCCGAGGTGTCACAACCACTCTGCCTTTCATTAACTAATATCGGCCGCACAGGAAATGAGACACTATAGAAATCTGTGGGAAACTGTGCATTTATTTATGTTTCCCCTCAAAGAGGCTCTCAGTGGAAATATTCATTATTTTTATGTCTGAGCTCGACTGTGTTTCAGAATCAGAGCTCAGGTCAAGAAAAGGTAAAAGGAAGGAGAGACTGTTAAACACCAGCAGGGAGAAGAAACGTCTCCAAGAACCTCAACCAGAACCCTGTCTGCTGCTTACAGAAGATCCTCGAACAACAGCAACAAACAAAACATCCGGAGCTCCTCCAAATAAAATCAACAATATCTGAACAAACTTCCTCCAGAACCTCCTCAGAACATCTGGTTCTGTATCTGCAGCACCTTTATCTACTGACCAGAGTTCTACCTTCAGACTGTGAATGTTCCAGAGGTCCAGGTCCTTGAAGTCCACAGAGGAGGGTCCAGATTGATCACTTTAATGGATTTTTTCCATCATTTCTGAGCCTCAGAACTTCATCAGTACAGCAGATAGACACATGACAGTTTTAATGTAGAGTAACTGTGACTAGTTCATGTCATTTAGGACACATTTAGCTTCACTGGACAAGTTTGAAACAAGCTGCGGCTGTCCAACATCACATTCAGCTGCTCAGTCAGTCACACAGTGAAGCGAATCTGTGGACGAACACGTCGGGACTCGGAGTCGAGTTTCATCTCAGTTTGACTGAAAGCTGAAAATGAAAAAAATCTTTTATTTTGAAAGCTGGAGGGAGCTCCAGCGTTTAATCTGTACAGCAGAAGTCATCCTGATCCACAGAGACAGACTCACTGATGT